TTCACCCGTCCAAACAGTTCACTTAATCCATCTCGTTTCATATTGTTACTCTATGAAAAACAAACAATAACTGAATGTGTTCGAACTTACATTCAGTACAGATCGTCTGTCCGGTGATTTCATATACACGTCGTACATCTATGATCACTGAATATCGATGGTTTTATTATGATTTGAATAAAACACCTTAATATTGAGAACTTTCAATCAGTATAATTTTACTTATTAATGACAAAAATGTTACATTGTTTTATAGGTTTATTGATTAGCATTATTATACTTTGAATCAATCCATGCTTTCCTAGAAATGTGAGTGTTTTCATAATCCAGTCAACTACCAGACGAAAAAGAAAAGATGAGATTTATGAGGCTTATCTGACATCAGTTTTTACTTGGACTGAGACTGTCAGCTGTGCTGCATTCACTAATTGCACTGTAATCTATAGTAAGAATTCCGTATGATGTTGATTATGTTTTCAACTACACTGTAGTGTCGAAACAGTTTCCATAATGTCATCGTGCTCAAACTGTCAACTGTATTTTCATGGTGACAGAAGCTGATGTATCGTGGTGATCTGAATTCACTTGATTGCTTCACAATTATCCGCGTGCCATGGTTCGGTCATTTCACGATCAATGCTCATGTAACCCAGAATGTTTATCCCGAATAATGGGCGTTTACAGAATCTTTCGTTTGTATAACAACACGACGTTAAAGATTCTGCTTTGTAATGAGAGATGACTGATGCCTCTATAGTGCTCGCACTTGCTAAGATCTCCTTTCTTTGTTATCTTGATGAGGTATCCTTCTTTCCAGTCTGTTGTTACTTGTTGAACGTTGAGCATTTATGCAGTTATTTCTGTGTCTGCTTCTAATGTCTCAGCTGTAATGTTGTTCGATACTGATGCTTTGCCGCATCTGGTTTGTCTGGTGACCAAGCTTATTTTTCCAATTGTGGGTATCATGACATTTAAAGGAAGTTCTGTATGTGCAACTTCGATGACCGGTGAGTTCGTTTAGTGCGGTCTACTCAAGAATTATCCAAAGTGCTTTACACAGTTGTTTCACTGTCCTATGATTTCGGTGATTAGTTTGCCTTGTTTGTTCTTCGCTGATTGTTCTGATTTACCATACGTTCCAGCGATCTTCGTTGTTTGGTACAGTTGTCTTATGTTTCTTTCTCGTCCAGCTTTATCCAGTCATTTCTAGAGTTCAGATACATTTCTGCTTATTAGTTCTAATGTTCGTTTTCACTGACTTGTTTTCTTCTCTGAATCCGTCTTAATTTTGGAATTCTCTGCTCTTGTTTGATTGTGATTACTTCAGTTAGTCAGTCAGTACTAATTCAGACATCGAGATAAACT